ACTACACACACACACACACACACACACACACACACACACACACACACACACACACACACACACACACACACATATATATATACCTGGGCTGCACCAGTGGTTCGCATGGCTGTATATGACTGTGTTAATCTGCTGAAGCATTCCCTAACGGCTTTGGCTTGGTTGTAGTTCCCTCTCATCAAACCACACCAGGAGTACCGCATAGAAGACAGCACATGCTATAGCATCAGATTTATAGCCCCATTCGTTCGCTTTTCTTTCCGATTTCACTTTCTTGTTCGAGTCTTATGCCCTGGATCCCGCTTGCTCGTCGTCCAGCGTAACAATGATAGACTCGGTGAAGAACAGACACAATCTTTTGGCAAAAACGTCATACTAAAAAATCTCATACATTTTGAACTGTGTCCCAACGGTAGGGATAATGAACTGGGTTATATCCTACGTAGTTGTACCTGTCAGTTGAATGAATTGCATCGTCTGCATCTTTGTGATCCCCGGCCCACACTTTAATTATGCGATGACTTGACTCTATGGTAAGACCAAGTACTCTATAAGCAAAGTGTTGGGCTAAAACGCTTTGAGCTTCGATTCCTCTACGCATGTGAGCTTTTTATTCGTTTTACGAGCCGCTCTTATACTAGAGTTTCTGTATTTTTCTGTATTTAAGCACCTTAGACAAAACACAGTCTGCCAATGTGAGAAGTACATGTGCACCATCTACTCGTCCCTCTAAATCTGTCTATAATGACGCCGTTTACACGCCTGTGTATGTATTGTACGCGTATGTGAGTGAGTCCTATTACCTATGTATTGTGATATGAATTCTGACTCGTATACTACCTTCAAAGCTTTGATACTATCTAATTTCCACGCCTTTAACTGTTCAGTATAGCATCCTATTATTTTATTCTGTCTGTCAGTTAAATCTATATCATAAGATATTGTGAGTGACTTCGCGCTCTTTGTTGACTTGCCAGCTTTGTCTGTGTTTATGAGCTTTTTAGTAACTGCTCTGACCTTTTTAGCCTCTACATTTTTGTCTTACTACTTGTGCTTTTACTCGATGTTTTGGTTCTTGATATTGTAGGTATAGATGTACGTTGTGCGTATCTACTACAGCCATATCTACAGTTTGTGTGTCTTGTGATGTTTGAATATTGTGTGTACATTTACTACATATACCTTCGGCTCCAAAGCCCTCATTGATCGGATCATCAGGCATACTAGCAGCCGAACATGATGGGAACGGATGTACACTGTGTATACATTTACTACACTTATGTTGTATGTTCTTTCCTTGCTCACAAGTACCACACCGTGTACACGCATAACATTGTGGACGTTCTGTAAATCGATCCTGTTCAATACATGTTCTACTGTGTGCAAATTTAATGCATAGGCTACACTGAACACGAACACCATTTAATACTACTTCAAAAAAAAACCATGCATACTGTTTGACCTACTGATTGTGGTTGCAGTACCTCCATTGTCTGTTTGACTTAGCATGGTGTTGTTGCATTGACGGTTGTCGCCATCACGTTGTGGTGAACGTTCTTCGGTACCTTGTGTTAGCCATCGATTTGTTTTGTAACAAGGTACTCTATATTGATCTAAGTCATTTAGTGTATAGTTATCTAGTGAAGGTGAGTGTGTTTGTGTATTTGATGCATGTAATCTAGATGGCAACCGTGCATGTGCGTTGAATTGATTGTGTGCCATTGAATATAATTCTTGAACTCCTATCGTACTATAATAGTTTTCGTTGTATTGATATTATATGATGTTTGATTGCCAATCATCATTGTCGAGTTGAATAGTGTACTGTGTGTTCGTGTAAACGAGGTAAGGCATCAGATGCAGAAATGTGGCTAAATATGCATATGCATCGACGCCATCTGTACGTTGTCTATTCTGTGCGTGATCAGGAGGGTGTGTTATGCCAAGTGATAGCCTGTGTGTTTTGGTAGGTTAGTGTGTTGTAACTTCAACCATTTGCTGAATGAGAATGGCTGGGCCGTTTTACAAGTTTCCGGTGTCGTTTCCGTCGCAATTTTCCACCCTTTCTATTCCGCTGAATTTCTTTTGGCCAAATTGTCTCACATATTCTATCGATTTTCAAAAAACAAATATTTTCTGGTCCAGAAATTTGAAAATCGACAGAATCTGTCGCTTCTTTGGTACTGGTGATATTTCTTTATAGCGTCGAGTTCGATTTGTTTGTGCTTGTTTGGCGTCTTATCTTCTTCATCGCCTACACCCGATATTAAGTATTGATCTCCAGCTGTTGAAAAGTAAATATCCAATGATTTAGCATCCATAATCCCTAGGATAACAATATTCTTTGCATTTAAACAAACGAAGTCAACAAAGCACAACCCACACTGAACGTACTCGTAGTTTCAATAGTGATGGCTTCCTCCATAGTCATGATACCGTCTATATTGCAAGTCTGCAATTTGAAGATATATTTATCCTCTCTTCTTTTTTTTTTTTTTTGTAGTTCATTGTCACTTGGATGATAGTCTGGATCAGCTATAGCACACACAATAAGATTTAGAATTGGCTCACAATACTATCGATGTCTCATTTCACATCATCCTTAATTGTCCGAGTAATTGGCTGAGTAGTTGATCGACGAAATTTCTTGTAGACATGTAGACTTCTTCCAGCAAAGAACTAAGCTAAGGAAAGACGTTTGGTCCCAAAAATATTGAATATTTAAAGTAACATCAAGCAGATTGGCTGGGTATCCGAATTGCCATCATCTGCATAACAACCAATTGCAATAGAACAATGGACCTGTCCGTATCTCTATGACCTAGGTCCCTCAACGTAGAAGTGGACACTTATAGAGGTAAACATTTAAATATTTATAGAGATTGACACATAAATAGGGACAATATTATATATTTCAATTTGGATAATGTTATATGTCTACATGTACATCACATAAATAGCGAAAAATATGTAATTTTTTCGTTTTCATCGAGAAAATTGACTTTTCCACATTTTCAGTGTACATTTAGCGACTTTGTTCTACTTTGGGTTATTCAGGTCTTATAATATCTTCCTTTAGATGAATTAGCTCAACGGAAATGTAGGCTTTGTTTGAAATTGTGGAGGAAGAAATTAAAATGATGAATCAATTGAATACCCATGATCCGCGGGGAAGCTCATTATCAAGCTTCTCAAAGCTGTAACAAACGAGGCGTGCCCCAAGTATATATGTGTTACAGTCAGCATGAGCTGGATGCAATACTGGGTGAACTTTAATTATCCTTTGATTTTTCAAATAATTGATATCGGTGAAATTTGAAGGAAAAAGTACAGCCATCAAATCTAAACATAGTGTTAGGTTGTAAACTAATGGAAACAAATATTTTCTAACACTAAGCCTCTTGCTATTCAGGTCTTAAAAATCTTCCTTTAGATTGAACTACATAGCTCAACGCAAAAGTAGAATTTATTTTGAAATTGTGGAGCAGCAAATTATATGATAAACTAATCGAATATTACAATCAAGTATCACACACTGGCTTTCAACGGAAACAAGGTATTTTAATGCCGAGCACCTCAGATACATATAAAATTATGCAATTTTTCATTTGTCGTTCGTAATTTCAAAACGATTTTTTTACTGCCATGCTGAAAGAGAGAATTAACCTAAAATAATAAGTAACCACGATTTTTTTCTAGCACCCACAACGCATATATGATAGACTATTTATCAGTCAGACTTAAAAGCGCCGATATGCACTATAGTATTATTTTCTTCAAACTCTCCTTCAAACCTACTTTCATTTTCTACGATCCGCATCTATATTAGAGCAACCAAAATCCATTACACCGTATTTTGTCACAAGTATTACGATGTTGGAGATCAAATTCTGGTACACCAAAGTATAACCAGGTCCATTTTCCACCAAGTCTTATTTAGATGTGCAAGAGATGGAAAGGGGGTAGTTTGGGCGTGTTGCAGAATCTTCTTCGAGTTGTGCACAGGCGCCAGTATGAGAGATTCCATATTGTCCAGCTCCTTATCGATATATTGCAATTGTGCTGCCGGTATTAATGCCGCCATATCGGCCTTATACAGCTCGACATATACATGAACTCAAAAAAAAATCCCGCTGCATAGTTCAACTATGTACCCGCAGACTTTCATGATTACAACTTTGAATGGAGTCTAAAAAGTCATTGTGGCAAAATACAAATTGCAGTCTGCAGCCTTAAGTAAATATCGGACAGGCCTCTGATACAAAATCCAACAAAGACCAATTTGGATTCTCCCTGAAGTGACACCGATTTGAAGAGATTGGATATTGACCCCCCGTGCTCGAAAAAAAAAATTCGTCACCTGCGGCTGACTAATAAGCCTATATAAAAAGTGTATCAGGTCATTATGTGGGGGTGGAGGACGGACATTCTTTATCTTCAGGATATGCAAAGTGCTACTTAATAACTTTGGATATCATATCTATAACGTCCTATCAATGTCGCCCAACCCTTGTTCCATGCTTCATCCTTGCACAAAGAGATACCCTGAAGTAATTCGACGCTGCAGCGGTTCTAAATTCAAACTGAAATATTTCTGTGGCGAACATTTTATGTATATCTATCATGTCAAGAGTAACAGATGAGTGATAAGGGAAAAGAGTAGGCTCTGCTATAAGGACGACTGCAG